TGCAGAGTAGACTAGTTAATATTGGATTTCTTAAATTCAAGGAGCCCTTTTTCCAAGGCTAACAAGTGCCCAATTTTAGAATTAATATCGATTCCAAGTTTCAACTTCTAATTTAATCCAAACTAAAAATTGAAACATAAAAGGTAATAAAGAAATTATAAATTTATAGTATGTAACTAAAAATAACGTTATAGTTAACAAAAATTTTGAATTTTAAATTCTAGTCGGTAATTTCGAAGATTACAAATCCCACCAACCACCCATGTTTTTTTTTTTTGATCATCCTTGAACACTACACCTACGACAATAAATTTATTTGGACCTAGCTAATTTTGGAAACATTTTTACAACCAGAAATTGTGGCCATATTAATCTAAGTTACCATAATATTCCATTCATAGATACACAATACTGTGGAAGTTTGGGTTGCATTATAGGTGTTTGAATAGGTATCTACTATTAAACCTTATTTTTTGGTAATGACTGAACAACGCAACGAGTGATTTTAATGATTGGTCCCCATGCACCACACATAAATAGTATGCAAGTTGCTCACCTGATCACTAGTTTCTAACGCTTTGTAATGCAAAAAATGCATGCAACTTGTTGTGTGAGTTTTAAACCGCTCGTGGCGCTAGTGTGGTCGACCGTCTTCTATGAAACTTTTGTTTGTCGGCACTTCCGCAGTTGGTTGCGGGCCGACTGGACGTCGACTTTTGTCTTTATTATTTTTACAATCGTGTCGTGCGATGCTCATTCTTGTAAACATTTTATTCCGTGTCCTAATTGTGTCTGGTCTTAACTGAGAAGACGAAATGTCAAAATGCTTTGATGAAAAAGAAAATTTTTTTAATAGATTTTAAATGCAAATTATCAAACCAACTAGTCATAATTTGTTCATGCCTACGCAGACTTGTGTATTATAATATTATAAATATCAAATATGGTAGGGCAATTAACTGTAAATATGTTAATATAATATAATATACATTTTAAATAACATAAAAAAAAAAAACATTTTATTCAAAATTGTATTTTCCGCTATTTCGATTTTATACTATCGTCGTGTTCCCGAAATTTGTTATTGAAACATAGGAAAAATAACACAATTGGTTATAACCATCAGGCGGGCGGAATGTGGGCGCCCATGCATACGGACATATGCGGACACGCTTATTCCCCATTCTGATTTCGGGGTTAGGAATTCTGGTATTTCGCCAGGTTCACTTACCCCGCGCCAGTGTAATTCGGGGGTAAAGGGCATATTCGTGCATGACTTGACGTATGGACATGTAACGAGTGTCCCGTGTCTTTGCCGAGAATTATTTAGCCCATAATTACCTCCCCCGAATTGCTTAGCCGATATTCTCAGTCCTAAAGACTGGGAGCTTTCAGAGTTATGCTCCGTCAGGGGCTTATTTTCCGGTACATTCCATGCCGCTGCGTTGTCAGGTCAGCGGTTTGACTTTCTTAAGGCCTCATAAAGACTTTCGCAGACGGTCCTACCCGGCCAATCGCAGTGTGGTTTTGCATATGCTGATTACACTCTGATTATCCATCAGAGTTTGCAGTGCGCAGTATGTTACTCGGCTGGTAATCGCGGCTTGTACCTAGCCGCGATAATTGCGATTTTTCTTCTGCGGTACCGTCTTTCCGCATCGGGGTATGGAGTGCATAGAATTACGCACCCTGCCCATCTCGGTTTTCCGGTCGGCCGGCGAGCGCCTGCGGGGAGGCCTGGTGGAACGGTGACAGTCGTTACTTCTGCCCCTCGCAGACGGTCGCCAGTCCACCCGGCTTCACCATCGGGTTTGACTCTTTTTGCCGAACAATGGTTCCCCGGGAGCCCAGCGGCCCGCCTTACGGCGTCCTCGCTTATTCATTTACTTTGGCTTCCACGACTAGACGCTATTCGGACCGCCTGCCTCCGCGGGGTCCCATCTCGCTGCTAGATGTAACCGTACGCGAGGCCTCCGATGTGTTTCGCCGGCCTCGTTACCAATTGGTATTTAAGGCTTATCGGTTTACAAATTGTATCTGACACCGCACGTTACTGCGGCGGTCCAATTTGGACTAATGCTTTCAAATAGAACTCTTTTCTCGGGCGACCACTCGGTCTTTTCGCCTCGGGTTGCAAGTAACTTACCGTACCGTTCTAAAGTCGTTCGAACGATATCGGCTTCATTTTCATGGCCGCCCTCGAACTCGAGCTCCTTCGTTCCTCGTTTGAGGGCGATTTTACAATTTCGCCCACCACGGAGGACCTTGTTTTATGCGCTCAAGGCACTCACTGCCGTCCGCAGTCGGAGGCCGCCGCCCACCGTTTGCCGCTCGAAAGCGGTTCGGTGTGCAAAATATTGGTATTAGGCCGCCCGATGCGAAACTGTCGGTTGGTCGGCGGAAATCGCCGCCATCTGACCCTTCCTCGAAAATTACGAAAAACTCTTCAACGAATAAACTTCATATTTACGAGAACATGAGACCCGCAGACTCTCGGCAAGATGGGGAACGGTCGGACCCCAATCACGCGGCACTGCCGCGAGCCAGTCTCCCGGCCCGATACCAGTCTTCCGGTCGGCATCATGCCCTCAGCGCGTTGCGGTTACGAACAAACTGTTTGGGTAAACAGGTTGACCATAGGCGGCCAAAACCCCCGTTATAGCCTCCAAAGTGGCAGGTGATGGGTCAAAGGGTTCATGTGATGAACCCATGACCCAGCCTGTTCTCTGAAGGTTATAAGGGGGGTATAACTTCCTATGGTCAATCTGCTTATGTCTCATGTCCCAATCACCCGGGTATATCACCTAAAAAAATAGAAAAAATGTGTTAAAAATTTTGGCAATATAAGTATTATCATAAATATTTAAGAAGAAGGAAAACTTACAATGACCAAGGTTTGGGGATGAGCCAACCACCACTGGACGGCTTTGGAGCCGTGGTGGCTGGACGGCAGTTCTTGCCCACATACGTTTCTAATTATAGCCTGGGCAACGTCATTTTTGGCCTTAATGGCGTTGCACCAGGCTATAAATTCTTCTAATGATACATCATTGACATTTTTTTGGGGGTTGCGCGAGATAATCTCGCGCAACACCAAAGCACAGATTTTTCTGAAGTGCATATTCTGAAATAAAACAAAGGTTTCTAATGTAGATTATAGAACACATATTAATTATATTTTATTTTTAATATGTTTTAAATTATGTGTTTTTTTTAAAATTAATACCTATATCACTGAATATTTGCAAAATTAAACATGAAATTATCTGAAATTTATAATTTATTATTTATTAATCGCCATTAATCGTCATATATAGGGACATTGATTAACCGGCTGTGTGACGGGGGTAAGCGACGCCAGTACACGGCGGTCTCTCAAACCTTTAGCCGTCTTTACCGCGCCCGACTCGTCCGCGCCTTGGCGGCGCAATCGTCATCCCTCGCTAAGGGGTGCGTCTGGGCGCCCGAGCGCCAGGCAAACGGCCCGGAGCATGCCTACTTCAAGGCATATTATGGGTATCGCCGAATGCGCCACCGGCGGCAGGTTTTTAATCTACTCAAGCAAACCCTCTTCTACTAAAGCGCTATTTCCACAACCTCCGCGGTTCCATCCACATAAGCCACGGACGCGCGGCAGTCGCGCGTGCGCATGAACAATCACTCGCTCGCCCGGCTGCCGGACGCGCGTGACCTAGCTACCGGAGTGCTGTTTTTACAAGCAGGGCTCTCTCCGGTACCCGCGGAATGAGATTTCGGGCTCCGTATCCCAGGTACTCACAACGACCTATTTCCCACAAGCACGATATCGAGGCGGGAATCCGCAGGATTTTCCGCCGCGATCCGCCTTTCTGTGCGGTACGGTTTACTGCGCGGGTGGCCGTTCCCGCACCGGGTAGTTTCGCCCGGATTTACGGTGACTGATAGTAGACGGCTGGTTTCTGCCCACTACTAGCACCAGTTCGCTCGCATCTCCTGGATGCGGGCTCTCGATCGAGTTTTCAGTGGGAATGAACCGGCGTGTGATCGGAGGTCCGCGGACGGGTCGTGTATGAGGTACCCGCCCGCGGTTGCTTTTGCCCAATCCTTCCGTTTCATTCCCATTTTAACGTATTCATCGGTATGTCGCAAGGTTAATGGATTACTACCTTTTTATTCTCGTTGCGTCCCATTAATTCTCACTCGGGTTTATGTATCTCGTGCGGACTAGAAGGGTTATCCCTCTTTCCCTCGGCCGCTGTACGTGGTACAGGGCCCCGAATTGGATTTTTACTTATATCACCAATTACGACTACCGAGCTAACCCTGCATCAGCGCGCCAGTGTATTCTTAGCGAATTCACTAACCGCCCGGAACATGACCTCGGAGCTCGTCATGAACTCTAACTCACACGGCCAGTCCGCACCGGCCGCTCGCACTGCGAGTTTGAGTTTATTTCTTTCCTGGTCTGCAAGTGGGCAATTCATAAGCAGATGCTCCGCAGTTCCGCTGGGGAAACCGCATGCGCAAGCTGCATCGCCAACAAGGTTAAAGCCGTGGAGTTTTGCTTTGAAGTCCCCGTGACCGGACAGCAGCCGGAACGTGTAATGATCCATTCGGCACCACCCACGTCCCACCCGGCGTCCGGCACCGGGGAACCATCGCGCGGTCCACCTACCCTTGGGCTCGCGACCCACTTGCTCTGCCAGAGGAGTCCACTTTTTCGTCCGGGGTCCGAGTGGCCCCCGTCTTCCTTCGTCTTTTCCTTTTCCAATACGTAAGACGGCCTGAGCCGTCGTCGGTAATCGGGGGCGACACGGTGTCCCCTGCCGAAGCGGGGACAGCGTTCCGCCCAGGATGACATTCGGTCGTCCTTACTTAGTGGTCATTCATATTTAAACTGTGATCAAGATTTCGGATTAATTGAAAAAGAAAAGAAATTCCACCCACATGTACATTTACCGAATGACTGGATAACAGTCATACTATCTGCAAGAAAAAAAAAACCATTTAAAGTTGTCAACATGACTTCAAATGATTTATACTCAACAAAGTCATTAGAAAAGCAGATAACCAATAGGAAAACTGATCTAAATAAGGAGAGTGTACAATGGTTAAAAATTCAATGGCTAAATTACAAAAAAGAACAGCCATTTAACTTAGATTACAAGTATTCTAATGACACAGATTATCCTTTTTACTGTAACTATATTGGTAAAAGAAACTCTAAAATTCAAAACTATACAGAAAATTTAGATCTTTTATATCTAAATGGGCACACTATAAGTCAATTAAAAAAAAAAGATTTAATTGAATTACTTCCATTTATACCCCCCATAAAATATCAGTTTTATTTTGATCTCAAAACAGATAGAAATGATGATGATGGTTTTCCATTTATTGAAAATGAAGATGAAGAAAGTGAAGAACGATAAGTAAATATTTTAAGTAAAGATGCAATAATAATTCAAAACATAATTTTATATAGTGTTATAATATAATAATATTATGCCGTTGTGCAAAGAAAAAGCAGGCTGTATTATGTTTGATTGTTAATATTTTATTAAATTATTAATAAGTAACAAATTGAAATGTTAATGTTATTACTTTTGATGTTAAAATCTTAATTATTTTTATTAATTTAGAACATGGTTTTTTACAGTTTTGATTGTTTTTGTTTTTATTATATTTTAAATTAAAATTCTACCTTTTTTTATTTTATTTTAACATAAATAAAACAAGGTTGATTATTTGTTATGAATTATGTACGATGTATTATAAAACCTATTAGATTATCTTTGCATTTGTATTCCTATACAAAAGAACATTACAAATGCGGCAGCCGGCGGTCTTTAAGGCCATGAGAATTCCTCACAGGTTCCTATAGCTGGCGGCCAAAAATTCTTGATTCATAACCATGAATGAATATTAATGGATCTGATATATGAAATTCTGTTTTTAATATGTTCTGTGTAATTATTGTCATTTCTGAAATTTGTTCTTTAATTTTTGTGGTGTTGATTGAAGACGGTGAGGATGATGTTAATTTTAGATGATTATTGAATAGGGTTGTTTGTAAATGGAGATGTTCTGTATAGAATAAAATGGTGTCCGGTGTCAATTTGAGAATATGATTTAAAATTTGTGAGTTTTTTATTGCATCATTTATAAATTCATTGTCATAGTCGATGAAATATGAAAAGGCATGTTTTTTGTTTGGTTTAACTCTAAATAAAATGTTTTTGTTTGTCAACGATATTATATGATTTTTAAAATCACGTTTCAAATCTGATGTAGGAAACGTGAAATGCATAATACTTGTCAATAATATGAAGGAATTGAATAAATGTGTAATCTGAAAAAAAACGAAGCTTAAGTATATGTTTTCTATATTTTGCAATTTTTTTTTTTTAGGAGCACTGTTTACCGTTGAAAATCGTATATTTGGTGACGTGTGGTCATTTTGCATTTTCACCGTGGCAATAACAAACATATCAATTATATCATACTGTTTAATATCCCACTCATTGTTAATTATATATTTATACGTTTTATCATCATCAATTTGAATTTGTAGCAAATTTTTACTTTGAGTAAAACAAAATGAAAAAAAAAGACTAGAGCAATACTCACAACTAAATAGTATGATTATGACATTGTTATCAAATAAAATGAAGTCCTTGATTAAAAAAAATGTATTCTATAGACGTTTTCTGTATTAAAATATGATACAAAATAAAAATAATAATTATTTGAATAAACCTAATGCGTTTGCTGTAGTATGAATTATAGTCAAATCAATTTTCAAATGCCGAATATACCTCAAATAATAATAAAAAAGGTGGGCAAGTGGGTGTCGCTCTGCTGTACAGTAGGTTACAAGGGGGTTACTGTATAATGGATGATATTAAATTTGAATTCAACGATATAATATCATTGTATAAGAAAAACGATTCTGAGTGGAGACGGTATGTCAGTCTATGTATAAGACATAGGTATTATATACATATCTATGGTATTAAACAAAAAATTGACCTATAATGGGTACCTATAATAAATTCCAAATTAATCATATCAAAATATCCATTAGGTACTTATAACGCGTTATACATCAACAAAAACCGTGATACTATCATAGATATATAATAGTACACTTTAGAAGTTTCAAGTATCCACGAATAATATTATTCAATCACAACAAAATAACTAAAATAGTTATTCTAGGTTTTATATATGTAATTTCGTCCAAATTTGAATTTAAAATGTCTGTAAAAAATAACTGTGTTCATATATTTTTTAGATTTTTTGGTTACAGTTTGAACTATTTACGGGAACCTTTGTGTTGAATTTGCAATCCTTAGCTATAAAAACTGAACATTTTATAATTTATTAATTACAATGATTGATAATTTTCGAGATTTTGATAAATTTTGTCAAAATTTGATCTTTAAATGCTTATAAAAAAAAACTGTGATTATGTATTTTTAATATTTTTCAACTGATATTGTAACAATATATCAGGAGCCTTGTATTAAATTTTTACACTTTTTGGCCCAACAGATAAAACTTTATTGATATTTATAGAAAAAAAAACTAAAAAAAATTGAAAGCTGTAAAGGTCCATAAACAGCTCAAAAAGAGTCGAAATATTTTCAAAATTGTATGGTGTATAGGAAATGCTAGTATAAACATTCAGTGAAATTTTCATGTATCTACAGTTATTTGTTTTTGAATTACAACAAAATAAGGAAATCGTTACATGGGAAATCGAGTGAATATTCAATGTTGTAAAAATTTGAATTTCAAACGCTCATAAAAATTTAATTTGACTTTCTTATAGACATTTTTCTTTTGATAAAGGTAGACAAACTTATAAGGAATCTTGTGTTTAATTTTCAAATCTTAGATTTAAAAAGAAAAATTTTTACGAATTCTTAACTCTAAATAATTTGCTAATTTTCGTGATTTTCCCATATTTTGTCAATTTTTGAATTTTAAATGCTTATAAAAAAAAATTGTGACTAAGGATTTTTAATATTTTTCATCTGCCTTTGAAACAATATATTAGGAGCCTTCTATTAAATTTTCAAGCTTTCGCAACCAACAAATAAAATTTTATTGATATTTTTAGAAAAAAACTAAAAAAAAATGGAAAATGAAAATGTCCCTAAACAGTTCAAAATAAATCAAAATATTTTGGAAATGTTTTCGTGTATAGAAAATGCAAATATAAACAACCAGTGAAAATTTCATGTATATACGTTCATTTGTTTCAGAGTTACACCAAAAACCAAAATCGATTTTTTGGAAAACGAATTTTGCGTAAAAATTCCCGTTTTTCCTTAATTTTTATGTTGTTTTTCCCGGCGCTTGTGAAAACTACTGGGAAATTTATACTTTTGACCCCCCAAAGTACCAACTAGATTCACTTTCCTATCAGAAAAGCTACTGATGAAGAAAATCCAAGCACTTTTACTGTCCTAAAACGTGATGACAGACACAAAAAAAAATAAAAAATTAAAAAAAAAATAAAAAAAAATAAAAAAACACACATCATTGTAAAATCAATACATTCATCGTTTCACTCAGAATCTAAAATACTTACGGTAGTAAATAAATATCGAAACTTAAAATATTTTGAAGGTTTTTTAAGCTTTTTATCATTTCCTTGAATTTAAAATTTAATATTTGAAAATAAATATAGTCATTATTGCTTATATGCGTTTTTATATCAGTTGAATATAAGAAAATAAAACATTTATAAACGATATGCATTGTGCCACATCTGACAAATGAATTGATAATATTTTTTAACATAAAACCAATTTCAGGATTTTGATTTCTGAAAATATACACCAATTAAAAACAATTATGTATATCAATGTATTTTATGTTTGTAATATTTACTCATAATTAAATGATGTGAAGTCGCCAAACATTAACATTGTACATAGTTCTTTATGGACACACGAGTTTTGTTATTTATAAAAATAAAATTATCATTTAAATTTTGAATAATCTTCCATACTCCATTAGGAATAATATAATAATTTAATAGTGATATTAATTTCATTAATTTTTCACTTTTAATAATAAAATCAGACGTATCGTAATAATAATTATAGTTTTCAGTACTAGTGTCCAGTGTCGCAAAACTGTAAGCAGTGTTAAATAAAAATATAAAAAAAATGTCAATGTTTAATTTGTTTTACCAGTACTAACTTAAAATGATCAAGCATTATACACTGTTCGAATCTTTTGCTCTCGACTATTTATTTGACACTATTTTTGTACTTCAATATTTTTTTCACTATGTTTTTTCTATTTATTCCACAAATGGCAATGTGAATAGGCAGAAACATATACATAATGTTTTGCCCAAATATAATAAATAAAAATGTGTTTAATTTTATTGAATTATTGGATCTTTGCAGTTCATCTAATGTAGTTATACATTTACTTTTATTTTGAGCAGACCATGAGTCAGGATAAAGGTTGAGTATCGTAGGATGACTCTGTTTTATACTGTTCTTCAAGAATATTAAAAAAGTTTAGACTATTGCACTATATGAAAAGGAACAAATTGATTCACGCTGGTGAAAAACCTTTCCAGTGTGATATTTGCAAGACAAGACACAGGGATTTATCAAATCTCAAGTGTCACAACATGTGTTGGCACTTGGCATTCAAACATAAAGACTTACATTTGCGTCATTGATAAATGTAAGGAAAGACCAAAAGCTTTTAAACAAAAAATCATATTTTAAAATTCATTGGTGGTGTTATTAACCCCTTGTTTATATAGTAATATAATATAGGTAACGTAGAATTTAGATGGGTAAGCACTTTTGTAAGACGACGTCCGCCGCCATTGAATAATGCATAGTGCATAAGTCAGTCGTGAAATAGTCTTATACTCGACTACTGTGTGTACCTACGTTTTATCTAAAAAATAAAAGTATTAATATAATTTTAATTCATTGCGTTAAAATTCAATTCCTATAATAATAAGTTTCAATAGCGTACTGTAGTATTTTCGAGAGAGCGAACTAATTCTTTAACAGAGGATAACAACTCAAAATTGACTACGAAGGAACAAACCCAAGTAAGACATAACAGTGGGCACACTGTGAAATCAGATACAAATGTGACATTTGTCACAAAACTTATTCCACAAATGACAATGTGAATAGGCACAAGAAACATATACCTACATAATGTTTTGCCTAAAAATAATAAATAAAAATGTGTTTAATTTTATTGAATTATTGTATCTTTGCAATTCATCTAATGTAGTTATACATTTACTTTTATTTTGAGCAGACCATGAGTCAGGATAAATGTTGAGTATCGTGGGATGACTCTGTTTTATACTGTTCTTCAAGAATATTAAAATAGTTTAGACTATTGCACCATCTGAAAAGGAACAAATTAA